GTTGATCTAGAACGTCTTTTAGAAAACAGTCTAGTTTTCTCTTGAAGATGTCCATGGTTGTTCCAGCAATATTTCTGATGCTTGCTGGGGAGGACGTTGAACAGCCGCGAACCTCTGATGTTTATAGTGTCCTCTGATTGTGCCTATGGCACCTCTGCTCTTCACTGGTTCTATTCTGCATTTTCTTCCATATCGTTCACTCCAGTACATTGTTATTTTACTGTGTAGATTAGGGACTTGGCCTTCCAGTATTTTCCATGTGTATATTATTTGGCATCTCTCTCATCTCCTTTCTAGTGAGTACATTTGGAGAGCTTTGAGTCGATCCCAATAATTTAGGTACTTTATCGTGTCTATGCGTGCCGTATATGTTCTCTGTATTCCCTCAATTTCAGCAATCTCTCCTGCTCTGAAGGGGGAAGTGAGTACTGAGCAGTACTTGAGACGGGACAACACCAGTGACTTGAGTACAACCATCGTAATGGGATTCCTGGATTTGAAAGTTCTCGTAATCCATCGTATCATTTTTCTGGCTGTGCCAATATTTGCTTGGTTATACTCCCTAAACGTTAGATCGTCGGACATCATTATTCCCAAATCCTCGACATGCTGTTTACCTATTATGGGCAGATTCGATTGTGTTTTGCACCCTGTATTATGTTTCAGGTCCTCATTTTTGCCATAACTGAGTACCTGGAATTTATCGCTGTTAAACATCATGTTATTTTCTGCTGCCTAATCGAAAACTTTGTTTGTTGAGGCATACATTGCCAAACAAAAGAACATTAGGCTGTGCTTGAATGTTTTCTGGAGCATCATTAACCCTTTTCAGAAGATTAGAGAGTTTGGCTGCAGCATTAGGGCGGACGCTTTTGGGATATGTGGTAATGTTCTAGTAGACGTTACTATGATCACTTGAGTGAGGTTTTCAGATGAGTTTAAGTTAATGGGAGTGTCTTCCCTAACTGTTAATGGCAGCTGGCCATTGCTTCCCTTTGGAGGCTGAAAGGAACCTCTGCATCTTGCCTCATTGGAGGTGTGCAAGCGAATGCCTCCATTATTGTTTATGGCGGTGCTTTTATTGCATACTCGGCAGAAACCTCTTCCAGTACTAGTTGTTGGCACCTCAAAACTTGTAGAGTCCTGCCTAACTGCTGGGACCCCTTCCATCTCAGCTCCGTTGAGAGGGTTAAACTGTGCATTATTCTATAGTGGGAAGGGGGTGGGGGCAACCTCGCTGGGTCATGGCCGAGTTGGCTGGTGTAGTGGTTATGTCAGCTGGGTGTGGGGGCCTTATTTGGGTGTGGTGGGCTCGGCTGGGTGTGGTGGGCTCGGCTGGGTGTGGAGGCCTCGGCTGGGTGTGGAGGCCTCGGCTGGGTGTGGAGGCCTCGGCTGGGTGTGGAGGCCTCGGCTGGGTGTGGAGGCCTCGGCTGGGTGTGGAGGCCTCGGCTGGGTGTGGAGGCCTCGGCTGGGTGTGGAGGCCTCGGCTGGGTGTGGAGGTCTCGGTTGGATGTGGAGGCCTCGGCTGGGTGTGGAGGCCTCGGCTGGGTGTGGAGGCCTCGGTTGGGTGAGGAGGCCTGTGCTTGGGTGTGGAAGTCTTAGCTGGGTGTGGAGGCCTCAGCTGGGTGTCGAGGCAACAACTCGGTTTGGAGGCCTCAGCTGAGTGGAGAGGCAACAGTTGGGTGTGTGGAGGCCTCAGCTGGGTGTAGATGCCTCAACTGGGTGGGGAGGTATCTGCTGAGTTGGGAGACATCAGCTGGGTGTGGAGGCCTCAGCTGGGTGTGGAGGCATCACCTGGGTGTGGAGGCCTCAGCTGGGTGTGGAGGCCTCAGCTGGGTGTGAAAGCATCACCTGGGAGTGGAGGCCTCGACTGGGTGGAGAGGCTTCAGCTGGGTGGGGAGGCATCTGCTGGGTGGGGAGGCATCCGCTTGTTGGGGAGGCATCAGCTGGGTGTGGAGGTAACAGTTGGGTGTGGAGGCCGGGAGATGAGGGTCAACGCAGGTGGTGAGGTGGGGGTGTTGGTGAGGGTGTCCCAGAAAGGGAGAGATGGGGTTGGTTTAGTGGGGGGTAGTATTGGTCGGGTTATATACATGACATACTATATACATGCATATATATACACCAGGGTATTTATGACACTGTATATTAGAGTTGGCACTTTGAGATGTATACATCACTATGGCAATATGACACTATATATACACAGTATGCACTTTGTGTGTTAGGGCTGCAAAATATACACTAAACAGAAACAACTTGTTCACTATTACTCACTGTGTCCAGGTGGTGGTGAGGTGTCCCCGTAGCGCAGTGGTAACTCGCCTGGCATTTCGCAAGCGCTTTGACCTGTGTTCATATCCTGGCTGGGGAGGATTTACTTGGCTCCAATCCTTAACTGTAGCCTATTCACCCAGCAGTGAATGGGTATCTGGATGTTAAACGATTTGTCAGGTTGTATTCCGAGGAAAATTTGGATTAAGGGTCTGCCTGAAATGCAATGTGTGCTAGTGGCTGTACAAGAATGTAAGAACTCTTGTATACTGTATATAAAAAAAAATGAAAATGTGCCCACCACCAGCCTCTTCCTCCATCTCACCGGTGAGTGGGCCCTTGTGTTCGCGGGGTGTGTTCCTAGTGACGCCTTACTCTAATGGGTCACTTTCCCTCACTCACTACTCTCCGCCTGCTCCAGCCGTTGAGGCGGTAGGTCTCCCTCACTGGCACTGGGCACTGGTGTATAAGCACTTGGCAAGCCAGAGAAGATTTATAAAATACCGTTGACTGGAACGATGGAGGGCCTTCAAATGCTGGAAGATGTCTTCTAATGATATTCATGTATATCCTGGTTGATGCCTCACTTGCTTGGTTTTGTTGTAATGTGGTAAAGTATGAAGGTAGCCCGGAGCTCCTTCCCATGGTGCCTCCACGATAGATATATATATATATATATATATATTATATATATATATATATATATATATATTATATATATATATATATATATATATATATATATATATATATATATATATATATATGTATATATATATATATTGTGTGTGGTCCCCAGGCATACATGCAACTGAAAACTCACACCCCAGAAGTGACTTGAACCCATACTGCCAGGAGCACTATGCACTGGTGTTCAGTTGCATGTATGCCTGGGGACCATTCAGGCTTGTTCGCATTTGTGTTCCTCATGTGTGCCCCAAAGAATGAGGTGATTTGATAAAATACTATGCCCAAGATTACCATCAGAGTGCCGGTGGGCTGATGGACAAATAGCCTCGGCTACCATCAGCTTTTGTTCGGTCGTGATGGTCGAGTGGATAAGGTGCCCTGTACACCAGTTGCATAGTGCTCCTGTCAGTATGGGTTCGAGTCACTTCTAGGGTGTGAGTTTTCAGTTGCATGTATGCCTGGGGACCATTCAGGCTTGTTCGCATATATATATATAATATTAGTTTTGTATATATTTGACTCTTGTATACATTCTGTACATATGTAACTTTAATGTCTTCCAAGTCATGAAAGTGGACCAATACTTTTGTATACACGCATATTTGCTAAGTGGTAGTGTGTTTAGTGAGGGGCACTAAGTTCACACACTTGAACCCTTGTTTCATGTAAGACAAAAAACCACTTTTGTATCATAATAAGAGGGAACATGTGCCTAGAAAATTTATTTTGTAATCCCATCACTATCTCTTCCAATAATTACCAAAGATTCCTCATAGATATGCATTGATAATTATTCCGATAGTTTTGTACAATATCTAGGAACATAACGTGGTTATATGAAGTGGAACACTGGTCGTGCTGAACGTCATCTTACCTGGCTTGCAGCTTCACTTTATGACCTTCGTTTTATGACTTGAGTTGTGTTTACCACCAGATTTAATAAAGTAAATGTAAAAAAAATTATATTATGAACAAAATATAAGCTGTACGAATTTGGGATTATATAAACACAGAGTATTGAATAATTAATTATGGTCATGGTTCAAATATATCCTGTTGTTGTATATTTGGCTTTGTTTAAACTGTTAATAATTTGAATTCTTTAATTTTTATATTCTTGAGATATTGATAGCATATTTATTAATGAAAATATATTCCTGTCTGATCAGAAGCCTACCACCACTGTTGCTGACACTGGTGTTGTCAGTTTAAATTATTATGTTAATTTTCATTACTAAATTTTTATGTAGTGGAAAAAAATTTGAAAATTATATTTTACTAGTTATTTACAAAAGTATTTTAATGAAATTGAAAGAAGTGTTAGTATAAACTTTGGGTTTGCTAGTGATTATTCCAGCAAGTTTTGTGCTTATCAATGTATAAGATGCAAAATGTATAATCATGTTGGGAGATGGAACACTGGTTACTTTAACCAGTTTGAGTCCACAGACAATAATTAATGCATGCTCAGTGCTTTTCTCTACCAGGAAAGTAAATAAATGTTAACAACTTTATATTTAATTTAATTATTCCCTTGTATGTTAAATATTGCCTTTTTATGTGAGAAAATGTCACACAAATTACAATGTGTTCTTGCTTGAACGAACTATATGGGGCAAGACTGATTCATTCCTTAAGGATTTCATTTGATCTGTTGGCCTGTAAGCCAACTCTTCCCAGGAAAAAACAGAAGGCCTACGTCCACTATAATGCATATAAAGCTCTGCGACTTACTGTACCAGGAGAGTTGTGTAATGAAATACTCTACCCTCATAAATAACAGAAGTACATTTAGGCAAGTCCAAGGAAATTCTTGTGCGCTGTCTGCGTGATTGGCAAGTGGAATGCAATGAAAAAAGTTGTTAAAGCACTTCCATTCACAACTTTAAAAAAAAATTGGTAGAAATTTGAATGTCAAGAGCTGTAATTTATACACTTGATATGAATGGCAGGAGCCAGATCTCACTTCCCTGTAATCAGTGATAGGTAAGCAAATGTTCTATAAGTAGAGTAATGGCAGAAAATTAAAACAAGAGGGGAAAAAGACTGAAATGTTTAATGACTACAGTATTTTAAGTCTTCAATGTTGAACAGTAGAATAGTTTATAAATATAAATATCTGTGAACAGTAGAGGATCTTAAATTAGTTGATCATACAACTTGCAAAATTCTTCCCTTTGTACAGTTTGTGGTTTGACACTACTGAAAGGAATGCGAACTTTTATGTTAGTAGCAGTTGCTGAGGTCACATATTCCTCTGGGTCAAAGATATCGGATAGTTGTGGTTGAGGATCTCGAGGTCGTGATGCTGGTCGCACTACTGCGGCTCTGCACAACATACAATGGAGACGTAATATAACTTTTGCAGAATCTTTTAAGGAAACTAAAGTGTTCAACAGTTTTCATGATTAATTCCCAGACAGTAATTATATAAACTTGAATCTTGGTAAGCAATTAAATTGTGTGTTTAAATCAAGCACTAATACATACAGATTAATAAGATACAAAATGCAGGACCAATCTCTTAGCCTTCCTTAAAATAATGTCAGGAGTTTAAATGGTTTATATACAAACGCCAGAAGACTATTAATAAATATAACATTGTATACATATTCTGAGGATGAGAATCCAGACATCACTGGGATCAGAGAAACATGGGGACAAGAAGATGTAAGTGAAGGAGAATACCAGCCACCTTTCACAAAGGATAGGACAACAAGAGCAGGTGGTGTGACACTATGTACACAACTAGCATTGAATGTAATGAAACACCCCTTCTCTGATGGCTTCTTGGTGCTTGCTGCCTGGCAACCTATGTAGAATTCAATCCATGCCAAAGTCAAAAACTATTAAGAGCCAAAAGCCAAATCCTGGCCCTCTCAATGGAGGCACAAGGAGGAAAGGATTGTAAATGACCCTAACCAGAAAAAAGACCAGCAATTGGGGGGGGGGGGGGGGAAGAGTCGAAACGTTTGTTTCATTTCGAAAAAAATAAAAAACAAAAAATGTTAGTTCTAACTGCACACCACCAGGGAAATGAATACCTTCATCCTTTGATCACCAAACATACCCCCACAGTTATATAGGCAAGCATATAAACCTCAAAACAAAAGGATACCTGATCAACCAGGCTGTGACTCATACATCAGGCTGCGAGCAGCCGCGTCCAACAGCCTGGTTGACCAGTCCAGCAACGAGGAGGCCTGGCCAACGACTTAAGAACTGTATAATACAGACTTTATAACATGAACAGCATAAGTGTTGACTCAAAATTAGAATTACCAAAACTTGAAATTACCAAAAACTTGAAGTACTGTACAAGGAAACTTGATAATATTCACTTGGGTAGGAAGAAAAACCACAACTCGAAACACACAATGGTGGAAGAACAGCAGAGAATGTTTTATTCAATAGTAGAATGTTACACTCTAATCCTAAAGCAGAAACACAGAGGCAGATAAAAGGCTTCATCAAAAAGTCCTAAATGCTACAAATGGTTTGCACAGGTAAGAAGTAGGTAGACACAATCACACAAAAATAAAAAATATTGCATAACTGCAGTTGCAAGCATGATCTAAAGTGCTTTAATTATAAAACAAGCAAACATAAAATTACTGTGCGTGAAGATATGGGCATGGATAAAGTTAATGACCTGCACATAGAGACCTACTTTACCTCAAATTGAGCAAATCCTTGAGCTGGGTTGCTAGTTCTTCTTCACTGACATCAACAGACACCAATTCATGAAATACTGCTCTTGATTCTAATACATTGACTTGTCTTGCTGTCTGGAAAAATAATAAGCATTGAATGTAATGAATCACTTTTCTAATGAGAACCTGAGTAGATCCCCCATGCTAAGTAATTACTGTACCTACACTACACTACACAGTACACTACTGTACCTAAGTGTAGTTACAAGATGAGAGCTATGCTCGTGGTGTCCCATCTTCCCAGCACTCTTTGGCATATAACACTTTGGCGTGTGTCTTGCTTCCCAACCGTCCCTTGAGGTCACTTGTCCCTCAATAGAACTCTTGGTGATTCGGATAACTTCGATATAGTTCACCTTATGAGTTTTTGTTCTCGTATTGGCATCCTTAGTGATATTTTCTAGCATCCTATGAATATCCCACACTTCTGAGGGTGCTAGAGAGCCTTCCCAGCTTAATGCCTTCTTTTGATACTTACTTATACTGTATAACGCTTTGAAACTGCTGATGGTTTTGGCCTCCACCACCACCACCTCACTTAACTTGTTCCAACAGTCTACCACTCTATTTGCAAAAGTAAATTTTCTTATATTTCATCGGCAGCTTTGTTTAGTTAGTTTAAATGTATGACCTCTTGTTCTTGAAGTTCCAGGTTTCAGGAATTCTTCCCTATCAATTTTATCGATTCCAATTACAATTTTGTATGTAGTGATCATATCACCTCTTTTTGCTAGTCCAGTCATGTTCTGATGAGGACTCTGAGACATCCTTCCTTACCAGAAGTCATCTAGCTCTCTCTCACTTACTAACCACCCAAACAAACCCTTTAATTCCTTGGGAAAAAACCAGCATGGAATGTAATTAAACACCAATTTCTGGGTGAGCCCTGATGGTTTCCTGAAGCAAGTATGTTGATATAGTGCCAGACTAGTAGATATTATCAGCCATGGAGTTCTTTTAGGCATACCGGAGACCACAAGCCAGAACCTGTCCCCCTTCCCCTCTAGAGAGGTGCAGGGAGCAGTGGCATGTATGACAAAATTACTATGAATTTATTCATGTCTGCCACCACCAAGGGATTTTCTGACCACCCTGAAAGTCAGTGAGACAAATCAGACCACTGCTTGTGATGAGTGACACTACAGCCTCAGAACCACCACAAGAACTCCCCCAAGAATGCAAACAAGCAATCAAAAATTTATGAAACTAGTGCTAGCTCATTTGCCCCACCTTCTAACCACCTCGTTTTTGGGGGAGGAGGGAGGGAGGCAGTCAGGGGTCAGCCAGCTGCTCCACCCTCGGTTCTATGATGATGGAAACACCCCCGAAGCTTTGGATGGAAGGGAAGGCATTTCATTACATTCAATATTGATTTTCTGGAGAAGGGGGAGCTCCTTGTGGCTCCCTGAAGCACTAGGGAGCTAGCACTAGCTTCATAAATTTTTGATGGTTTGTTTACATTCTTGGGGGAGTTCTTTTGGTGGTTCTGAGGCTGTAGTGTCACTTATCACAAGCAGTGGTCTGTTTTGTCTCACTGACCTTCTGGGTAGTCAGAAAATCCCTTGGTGGTGGAAGACATGAATAAATTCATAGTAATTTTGTCATACATGCCACTGCTCCCTGCACCTCTAGGCATATAAGAGGGGAAGGGATCACACTGCTAACCCTCCCCAGGATACACACAACCCCACAACAGTTGCCTAACTCTCGGATAACTATTTACTTCTAAATTAACAGAGGAATTAGGTGAAAGGATATGTACCCAACTATTTCTGTCCCACCTAGGTACTGAACCCGGGATCCCCAATTGTGAGCCAACTGTACTACGAGACCCAACTACGAATCCCGATGTAAGAAATACCCTTTTTTGAACCAGTCTTGTTCGCTAGTAGGGGATTCCCTATATTTAGAAAATTGCAGTATAATTTGATCATACCTGTTTTTTTAACTTTGCTGAAGTATTGGGTGACTCTAACTTGTTTTTCACTAGAGTTGATAAATTTGGCTTCTGATCCCTGGCATCCAGTAAAGCCTCACCAACACGCAGGGTTGAAAGAATTTCTGGAGCTCCGTAAAGTTCAACAGCACTCTCTGGTAATGTTGGTATTTGAATGCAACCTGGCTTTCTCTTGTCTTTCCTATTACAACAGACAATATTTTTATCTTGAGCTGCAAGAGCTTTTAATTCTTGATTAATTTTGGGAGCCCCTGGAATGTTTTTCATTTGAGTATTTGTCAATATAATAGGTTGATCATTTGCTCTCTTCTGTGTTGCTTCCAGTTTGTGAAAGGCTTCACCTTGGTACTTCATACTATTGACATCCACATCTGCATAAATGTGTCTCTCCCCTCCTTTTACAACCTTCACAGTAATTTTGGGCTTTGTATCCATTTATAACTGAAACCATTCAAGCTCCTCTTCAACAAAATAATTCGCAATGCAGTATCAACTGGAAGTAAATAGAATAATTGATTACCTAACACATAATAACTACAAAATTCTGCTTCTCTGCTGAAGACTGAAAATTCAATGTTAACTTAAATTGAAAAGCCATACTGAGCTGACAATTACCGTACAATTACTGAAAAGCCATACTCTGCTGACAATATGATGAAGATCAAAACAGATGTGACAATATGAAGCAATTTTAATACAGGAATTTGAGTTTTTCATACAGGATCTGACTAAATATGCATAAGAGGATGTGCATTGTGAAAGCAATACGATCATGTACTAGAACAGCTGTCACTTTTGCAAAGGTGCAACCTTCGACATGTAATAATCAAAATAATTCATTGTGTCGGAGGACACAAAGTCAGGGTGTATTCATACACGTTAGGCTTATATCGAGATCCCCCCCCCTCCCAAGTCAAATTACTGACTCCGCCCAGGATGTAGCCCCGACAACAAGCTGACTAACTCCTGAGTACCTACTTACTGCTAGGTGAACAGGGAAGCAAAACTGCAAAACAAAAATATAAAAATGGAGAGAAAATGTGAGTAAAGTACTTGTTTAGGGCGCGTGAAGTGTGGGTGAAGACGTACTGCTGCAGGCAGCTCCCAGAGTTATGGGGACGAGTGGTGTGTTTAGTGTGTGTGTTGTGGGCGCTTGTGGTCCTCTCCCCCGCCTCCGTTCTCTCTCGTCGCTCCCACACACTCCTATAGTTAATTGATTTATTGATTTATGTTAGTTAAAACGACACTGCACTAAAGAAGGGCAGAGGAACTTCTGGAGACGATGGCATACTGTACAGTAATTATCACCATATCAGAAATAAATATCTCTTTAATATCCTCAGAGTCAAACTTAATCTGTGTAAACACTCTATGCAAATATTGGGAACCCAGTCTATAGAACTCACTCCCTAATGAATTGAAAAGCTGTCCAACTTTTGCGTCATTCAAAAACAAAACTAAAAAGTACCTAATTTCATCTTCATAGTTTTTTACCTTTTTTGTTGCTTTAAAATTGCACTGTATCTATTGCTACCCAATCTCCCAATCTTTATGTACCCAATGGATATAAATTCACTTGAACGTGTCCAGGGTAGGATGACAAAGTTAATTCCCCAAATTAGAAATCTTTCATATGAAGAAAGATTACCAAAGCTTAAATTGCATTCACTAGAAAGGCGAAGAGTTAGGGGTAACATGTGATGGAGTGCGAAAAGATACGTGAATTTAGAGAATTCTATAACCAATGTTCCAGCGATGTGTAAATATTTCATTCAAAATGATCTGCTACCAGAAATTTTAGCCAAATATCCCCAGTTTGCTAACTGTAGGTAGTAACTAAGTGATTGTAACCTATCCACCGCTGCCCACTGGATGGGGGGCGGTGTGCAGGACAAACATATCAATTGTGACACTAGCTCTCCACATATGTCAGTTGCTTAATTTAGAACCTGTACTTGAGGTCGATCTCGAACCCATTGTTGATGTGACGACTTATATTGAATTTTGTAACTTGCTCATCAAGATTGTAACTTGCTTAGCTAAATGAATTGTGGGGTTCAGTCCCTGAGCCCATTATGTGCCTCTGGAACCCTGTCCACTACCACCCACAAGATGGGTATGGGGTGCATAATAAATGAACTAAACTAAAAAACATGATAGAGGTTTACAAGTGGATAAATGGACATAACAAAGGGGATATTAATGGAGTATTAAAAGTATCAACACAAGATAGAACGCGAAACAATGGGTATAAATTGGATAAGTTTCGATTTAGGACAGACTTGGGTAAATACTAGTTCAGTAACAGGGTTGTTGATTTGTGGAACCAATTGCCGCGTAACGTGGTGGATGTGGGGTCCCTCGATTGTTTCAAACACGGGTTGGACAAGTATATGAGTGGGATTGGGTGGTTATAGATAGAAGCTGCTTCGTATGGGCCAATAGGCCTTCTGCAGTTACCTTTGTTGTTATGTTCTTATGTTCTTAAATCAGATTTAGCATAGAATGGAATAGATCTGTAAAAGAAAATTCTGTTAAAGTGCCAGATTTTCGAAAAGCTGATTTTAATAGCCTAAGAATTTTTGGGGGTCAAATACATTGGAAAGTCTTGGGCATGGAGGGTGGGCCGGTCTTGGAGCAAGACGTGAACCCAGCGATAGGTGACAACACATACAGTGTACTCACCTAGTTGTGCTTGCGGGGGTTGAGCTCTGGCTCTTTGGTCCCGCCTCACCCTACAATGCGATTGGCGAGTATATCTTTGCCCTTTTGAGTGTCAAGGGTTTACGGGCTATTCATGCCCGTGCCACCTCTTGGGTGGCTTAATCTTTATCAATCAATCAAGGCTGACCTGACTGTTGGCGCAGTCTACAGAATTCCTAATACTGATGTGTCTGAATTCCACTCTAACCTTAGAAAAAAAGTCTGTACTAGCAAACAGACTTAACAAAAACCAACTAATAATTTCGGGAGATTTTAATATCGACTTCTGTGAGCCTGATAACCCTCTTGCTGCTAGTTTCCTCAACTGTATGAATTCCTGCTTCCTCATACCCTTAACCACTAGACCTAATAGAATCACTGATACGACTGCCTCTGCTCTTGACCACATCTGGACTAACATAGCCTCTCCACTTCAGGGATAATCATTGACAGCACCACAGAATGGACCACAGACCACATAATTACCCCACATTTCTCCTAACCAACATTAATATAACCACTTCTAGATACAATGAAGATAAACTTTAGGCTGCACAGTAAAACCTCTATAAGCAACTTTATTGATGCTGCTGCCATTATCAACTGGAAGACTGACTTACGCGACAGTGAACATCAACCCAACAGTGTAAACATTTCTTCAGGAAACTCTGAGCCTCTATAACACCCATTGTCCAATGCTAACGAAACAAGTCACAACTAAAAGGTTAAACAATCCATGGCTTACAAAGAATATACTTAAGTATATTAATAAAAAAACATGACCATGAGAAGAAGTATAGGTTAGGGGTCATCTCCAAAGAAGTTTCAAGGGTATATTCTTCAATGATGTCTAAAATAATTAGGAGAGCCAAAATAAAATACTATGAAAATAAATTTGACCAAAATTTAGCAACATTAAGAAAACGTGGAACACTATTTCCCAAATATTAGGATAAAAATAAGTTTTGAATAAAAAACCAATACTCCTGTCCAATGCCGATGGTGGGCTTTCAGCCTCTGACACTGATATTCAATTCAATAGGTTCTTCTCATCAATTGAGTCATTCCTTGCTAATGATATTCCATCCTCCCGTATTAATGATAAGGACTATGCAGGCGATGAGTCACAATAACGTGGCTGAAGTATGTTGATCAGACCACACACTAGAAAGTGATGGGACGATGACGTTTTGGTTCGTCCTGGACCATTCTCAATCGACTTGAGAATCGTCCAGGACGGACCGAAACGTCGTCGTCCCTTCACTTTCTAGTGTGTGGTCTGGTCAACATACGTCAAGGACTACCTTACAGGTAACTATCCAGAGTCTCTGTACCTAACTCCCACTAATTCCACTGTTGTTAATGAGATAATCCTCTCTCTTAGAACAAAGTGAAGTGCCATTGCTGAGATACCAGCCCTATTTTACAAAAAAGCCTCCAGATTTCTAGCTGCAGCCATTGCATTGCTCTACAGCAAATCACTTGAACTCCAAACCTTTCAGGATATTCTATAAAAAAAAATGCGAGAGTAACCCCAGTCCATAAATGTGGAGATCCCAATGATGTCAACTTCAGACCTATATCAATTCTGCCAAACTTGTCAAAAATATTAGAAATGCTAATCTACAAGCAGCTTTACTCTTATCTAGCCAAACTCCATATACTTAGCTCTTGCCAATATGGCTTCAGACCCCAAGAAAGCACTAACGATGCACTGATTAGTATGATTAACTTGATACATACAGCTCTTGATCAAAATGAGATCCCTGTTGGATTATTTGTTGACTTACGTAAGGCTTTTGACACTCAACCAGCAAAACCTCCTTCTTAAATTACATAATTACGGAGTCAGAGGTCACTCCCTGCAATATCTTCAGTCTTACCTTACTGACAGGTTCCAGTATGTTTCTGTGAATAATTCCATTTCTCCCACCCTACCCATCATCATTGGTGTTCCTCAGGGCAGCATACTTGGCCCTCTCCTCTTTCTCATCTACATTAATGACCTTCCAAATGCTTCTCAACACTTCAACCCAATTTTATTTGCTGATGACACAACCTTCATTTTCTCCAGTCCTGACCCTCTTGCTCTGAATGAGGCAGTGAATAACTAACAAACTCACCCTTAACATTGGTAAAACCTTCTATATTTTGCTTGGTAATAAATCCTCAGATCAAATTACTCTAAGAACAATATCCAAATTAGTAACAAAGAAGATAGTAAATGCCTTGGTGTCCTCATCGACAACAAGTTTAATTTCCAGGAACACATTCAACATATAGCAAAAAAGTTTCTAAAACTGTCGGCATTCTTTCTAAGATCAGATATTATGTACCTCGCCGTGCCCTGGTGACGCTCTATTACTCCCTCATCTATCCATACCTCAACTATGGTATTTGTGCTTGGGGTTCTACTACCCAAAATCATCTACGTCCTCTAATTATTCAACACAAAGCTGCTATTAGGGGGGGCATTAGATGGTTTACTCAAAGTTGTTCAATGTCAACCAATATTTTTTGACTAGTTGTATATAAAAAGTGCTGCAATTGTTCCAAGTTTCAGTACTGCAGCGTAAATAGAAAGGGAGATTTTTTTTTTTTTTTTTTTTTTTTTTCAACGAATTTTACACATTTTGAAGTGTAAATAAAATAACACACCTTTCAGATATAATCATTCTATGACACTTTTCTGACACATTAGCATATAATAAAGGATCGGTAGTAAGATATTTTCCAAAACATCTTTAGTTTTCCTAATACAAATTTTCAAAGTTCCCCCCCCCCTAAATTATGCAACTATGTCATGTTTAATGCTATTATAAAATCAATAAATGAACTTAGGAAAAAAAGCTTACTACTAATTTTAGAGACACACACGTTACATACAAGACATACAAGGTGAAAGTTTCATGTAAATTGAATAAAAAATGAAAAAGTTATTTGAACGTTTATGTTACTTGAAAATAAATAAGAAAATAATAAAGTCTAAGGTGCTGCCATCTGTGGCTGAGGTTGACATCAACCAATTTTCTCCAAAATTGGCACCCTTACAGATAGGCTTATGTGCAGTCAGGTGTATAAGTTTCATGCAAATTGTCCGTTGAAAAAAAAAAAAATTAACAAATTTTTTTTTCTAATAAAACTAATTATAATATTTTTTTAATATATGCTATTGTGATAGCTGAGTCATAGACATGATTTCAGTTGACACTTGTGTTTGATAATCGTTTTTGACCATTTTGGAATAATTTTGACACCTACTTCAATATTTTTTTCTCCCTTCCTATTTATGCTACGATGCTGAGACTTGAGCCAGATGAAACTCTTTTCATGTACAACTCGTCAAAAAAGTTTGATTGAAATCGAACTAGTTTTTATTTAATGCATTTTTGGGGAAATCTGGATCTAATGCCCCCTAAGTGGCTCCCAGAACTGAAGGACGCGCACAACTGCTGCATATTCTAGCTTTGGCCTAACAAAAGTC